CGTAGTGTTTTTCGAAAACAATTCCGAGTAAGAGCGCATTCATAGTCGGTCGGTCCGATCGTAGCGATCGCACAGCATTAGATACGTATCGATCGCCTGATGTTAGACAGTACAATCGTTACCATCGTAACGATTGTATGTGTCGCAGTAGTAGATGCGTGACGGTTGTTACAATCGTACGACCGTCTACGACTGCGCCTTGAGATAGCACTCTCGACATTTTTGACTGCAATGCAGTCTTTCGGAGTTGCGTATCGATTCTACTGCAAAATTTTCTCGTTAGCAAGAAGTATGAGGAGGTGCGTGTCGTGGATCAGCAACCTCTTCCCCCCCCCTTCCTCCTCCCCAGATTTTTTGATCGACTCTCTTCCACCTGTTGATGTCAAGTGCACCTTCTTCACCTCGCCTCTCTCCTTCTTCGGGGTCGGTCCATGTCTCCCTATTTCCTTGTTTCTTTGCATCGTTTGATGGGTTTCTGTACAATCCTTATGTGAACCACAAGAGACCCGGTTCTTTCGTTGCAGCCCTCGCTTCGTTCATAACATTTAGTGCAGGTCATACTGGAAGGGCTTTTGTTGTTCTGAAGTTATTATGAATTTTACCACGGTAACGGTGTAAGTGACACATTTTTTTTTGAGTTACTAATTAACATCGTTGAAGTGAAAGTAGTCAGAAACTTCGCGTAGTGAGTTTCTGGACTCCAGGCGCCTATAGTTTTGGGACACCCAATAATGATAAAGCTAGCGAGAACTTGGTATATTTATCAAGGAAAAAAAGGCACAGATTGTATAGCACTATATCACCTTCAGCTATTACCATACAATCTCTGCCAACTCCTTCCCTTGATGAATGCCTGCGCTCAAACCTGCGTGAAATAAACAGCATAACCTGGAATTTGTGAGCTTTCATTCTGCCAAGCATATCACTTTCTTAAACTTAGTGGTATTGCTTAGAAATTCAAGCGGAGCCGTATTATTGAGAATTCTCCTATTTAAGGTAACGCGTGTGGTCGAAGAATCATACACGAATACACCCGAATCCTCTCGTTCTTCGTTCGACGACGATGCTTCGGAAGCGACAAGAAATGCTCTTTTAAAGAAAATTGCACGGTAAATCAAATGTGTTGCTTTTTTCGAGTATCTGTCCTTCGACGGTAATGAAACATAGTGAAATTTTGTGAGGTACTTCGAATGTTTTCGTAAGTATCGATGCTTTCCTTAGGAGTGTATTATTACTAGCAAGATCGACATACATAGTGATAGCCAGTATTCTCTAATTCTCTTTACCTGGGAAATCTGAGGACGTCAACTCACTCACTGTGTACAACATAGCGAATGTAACCTTGCAATAATTTTGTGAGCTTGGCTAGTATAATGGCAACTCGAATCCCCGGCTATATTATTAAGTCAAGGAGCCATTATTAAAGAGGAACGGTGGGTAGCCCGCTCATAGGCAAAGCTGCACGCGTGGAATGGACGGCAATCCATGCCCTGTAAATGAAATCGTGCAGTTGTAACGGTCATTGTGCAAGAAAAGCGAATGCTGCGTAGTACTCATTTTTCGCTGGGCCCGATGACTGTGGTCATGAGAAACGTGTTTGTACGTAATCCTCGTACTTGGAACAAAAATACACAAAAAGCCGGAAGTGTACGTGTTGAGGATTATTGTCGAGGTAATGATTAAGTTGCAACGTCTACTGTTCTCGCTTGTCAAATGGCAACGAAGGACGTCACTTATGTTTGAAAGTGTATTTATTATAGTGTG